AAAAGAGTTGAGATGCTTAGTAGCTTTCTTCCATGGTTGTTGCATTTTTCAGGAACTCTTCACTAGGAAGGTGAAAGCGATCGGTAGAAAAAATGATGGGTTGTATATACTAAGAAGTCAAACAGCAGGAAACAATTATAGTGAAGTTACTCTAGCAGCTACTGAAAGACCAACACGCTATGATATCAACTCAGCAGAGGATATAGAATTGTGGCACAGGAGATTTGGACATGTATCAGCAAATGTACTTAGAAAGTTACTACCTATTACTCTAGAGCTTATGGCAGAAAAAATAAATAAATGTGATGTATGCCCATGTGCAAAGCAAACAAGGCAGCCTTTTCCTAATAGTTGCATTAAGTCTACTGTTTCATTTGATTTGGTTCATATAGATCTTTGGAGCCCATATAAAGCGGCTATATTTGATGGTAACAAGTATTTCTTAACTGTGGTGGATGATTTCTCCAGAACTACGTGGTTGTTTTTGCTCAAACTTAAGTCTGATGTATGCACTATTCTTTAACAATTCATAATGTTTGTAAGGACTCAGTTTAACAAAACAATTAAAGTCATTCGAACTGACAATGGTACTGAGTTTGTCAATACAACCTGCAACAATATGTTCACTAATCTTGGGATAATTCATCAGACTACTTGTGCCTACACACCATAACATAATGGTGTGGCTGAGAGAAAACACAGACATCTTTTAGAAGTCACACGAGCAATTAGATTTCAGGGACATATACCTATAAGGTTCTGGGGATACTGTGTATTAGCTGCAGCCTATTTGATTAATAGAATGCCAAGTTCAGTTCGAGCCAACATGTCTCCATATGAGAAATTGTATGGAAAGAAGCCATCTCTAAAACATCTTAAAGTACTAGGATGCCTATGCTTTTCAAAGATAGTGCAAGAACAAGATAAACTGATGCCAAGATCTAAGGCAGCCATTCATATGGGATATGCAACTTCTCAAAAAGGGTATCTACTGTATGATTTTAATAGCAAGACCTTCTTTGTCAACAGAGATGTTATTTTCAAAGAAGATACTTTTCCATTCAAAACTCTCAACCAAAATAAAGGTCTACCTATTTTCATGAACAACAACAGTCTTCAAACAATAACATATGATGCAGTCAATCAGTTCACTGCTGAAAATCATACTGACTTCCAAACAAGTGAAGTAACAACTGATCATACACAATGTACTACTTCTGGAACCTCACAACAACACACATCAACTGAGGTAACAACTGATACTTTACCTTCAAATATTACTCATGTTCAATCAATCAGTCAGCAAACTTCAACAGAAGAATTTTTGAGAAAGTCAAGCAGAGACAAAAGACCATCACTCTAAAGATTTTGTATCTTTAAACATTCATCAAGATAATCCCTATGCCTTATCTAAATTCATATCATATGAAAATATCTCTCCTACCTATCAATCTTTTATTGCTGCATCTTCTTCTATTTCTGAAGCTACAAACTATCATGAAGCTATCAAAGATCCTAGATGGCTAGATGCTATGAAGGCTGAGATTGAAGCTTTAGAAAACAACCACACTTGGGACATAGTTGCACTGCCTGAAGGGAAATCACCTATAGGGTGAAAGTGGATTTACAAAATAAAATATAAAGCTACATGGGAGATAGAAAGATTTAAAGCAAGATTGGTTGCAAAAGGATTTAGCCAAAAAGAAGGAATTGATTACCAAGAAACCTTTTCACCAGTGGTAAAAATAAAAACTGTAAGAACTGTTCTAGCAATAGATGCTACTAAACAGTGGCATATACATCAAATGGATGTATATAATGCATTCCTTCAAGGGGATCTACATGATGAAATATACATGGATTTGCCTCAAGGATTTAACAATCAAGGGGAGACAAAACCAGTATGTAAACTTATTAAATCCTTGTATGGATTGAAACAAGCACCCAGGAAATGGAATGCCAAGCTAACTGAGGCTTTACTGAAAGCTCACTTTTATCAGAGTCAATTTGATTACTCCCTGTTCTTTAAAAAGACTTCAGAAGGTATCACTATAGTTTTAGTTTATGTTGATGACATGTTTATTACTGGAGATAGCCTAAATCTAATTAAAGATACTAAGACAGGTTTACAGCAAGTGTTCAAAATGAAAGACTTGGGTGAACTTAAATATTTTCTAGGTATTGAGTTTGCAAGATCTAGTCAAGGAATCCTAATGCATCAGAGGAAATACACCCTAGAATTGATTTCAGAAGCAGGTCTGGGAGCAGCCAAACCTACTATAACTCCTTTGGATTTCAATATGAAGTTAACAACAAAAGAGTATGATGAATATACCAACAAAGGCAAGGAGGTTATTTCTGAAGATGAAGAACTGGCAAATCAGAATCCTTATCAAAAATTGATTGGTAAACTGCTATATCTAACCATGACTCGACCAGATATCTCATTATTGTTCAAACATTGAGCCAATTTTTATAAAAACCAAAAAAGTTTCATATGGAAGCTGCACTCAGAATTGTGAGATATCTAAAGCAACAACCAGGACAAGGAATTCTTTTATCCACTAAAAGCAACAATGAAATTATAGCATATTGTGATGCAGATTGGATAGCTTGTCCTCACTCTAAAAAATTTGTGTCTGGTTATTTGGTCAAATTTGGTGAATCTTTAGTCGCTTGGAAATCAAAGAAACAAACCACTGTTTTCAGAAGTTCAGCAGAAGTTAAATATAGAAGTCTTGCATCAACAGTAGCAGAGTTGATTTGGCTAATTGGACTACTAACAGAATTAGGAATTAATGTCAAACATCTTGTTAATGTATATAGCGACAACAAAGCAGCCATGCAAATTGCTGCAAATCCAGTCTATCATGAACGTACCAAACATATTGAAATTGACTGCCATTTCATTAGAGAAAAAATCTTACAAGGATTGATCACAACAAAGTATATTCCTACAAGAGATCAACCAACTGACATTCTGATTAAAGGACTCAATCGAGTTCAGCATGAATATCTCAATTCCAAGCTAGGAACTTTGAATATTTTTGCAATTCCTAACTTGAGGGGGAGTGTTGAGAAAGGTGTTACATAAGGGTAGATTAGTCATTTTTATTATACTCCACCAATAGGAATCTAATAGGTGGTTAAGTTAGTTGGACAAGTGTATTATATATACACACATATTCACACATATTCAATACACAGAATAATATTTTCTGATGCTATCTTCTTCTTCTTCTTCATTCTGTCTTCTTTCTCATCTTCTTTCTTCTTTCTTCTGCATTACACTTCTTAGTTCCTCTTCTTCTACATACAATTACAGGATATTTGCTTTTGAGCACCAACATGAGATAAAGGACTATTTTCGCTGGCTCCGCCTCACCAAGGAATCGATGGAGAATGGAACGACGGATCTGGAGTAATCGTTTATAAGTGGAACGACAAGGATAAGAGGCCAAATACAGGAAGAAAAAACTGGAAAAAGAGATGGAGCTGTTGTGCTGAGTATGATGAAAATGCTCCACCTTGTAGGCAAGAATGGCATGTCTCATATGATGATGGTTTCATATTATACTAATCATATGTGATCACTTGTTCGAGCAGCGAAAACAATCTCTTCTAGAAATACAGCATAAGACTGCGTACAATAGACCCTTGTAGTCGGCTCTTCCTCAGACCCCGTACATAGCAAAAGCTTAGTGTACCGGGCAACCTTTTTTTTTTTTTTTAACATATGCGATGACTTTTATTTTAGCTACAATAAAAATGCAAAATTTGTTTCAAATTCCCGAGGAATGCCATGACTACATGCAATAAGAGACACATTTTTGTTGAGTTGAGGTGTCTTTGATCACTAGCTAAGTTAGAATGTCTATCTGAAAGTATTCTTTCTATAACATGAAAATAAAGTACTTATTTTGCTGAAATGAAAGGAAATATTTATTCTAAGAAAATACTCATTTTGTTGAAATGAAAGAAAATACTTTTTTTTTTAATTGAAATGAAAGAAAATATTTTTTACATCACGAAAAAAAACTTTTTGTTGAAATTAAAAAAAATACTTTTTACTACATTTTGTTGAAATGAAAGAAAAATACTTTTTTTTACATCATGAAAAGAAAGTACTTTTTGTTAAAAAAAAGTTATATCATGAAAAAAAAATACACATTTATTGAAATGAAAAAAAAAATTANGTGAGAAACAAGGCGGGAAAAGTTAAAAAGAGTTTTGGAAAATGTTTTGCCTTCTCTTGATAGGGAAAATATTTTTCTCCAATTAGAGTAAAATGAGTTCATTTGAAAAGTATTTTCCAAAACATTTAAGCCAACCAAACATGAAAAAATTGAAAAATACTTTCCGAAAAATATTTTCTTAATTCAACACCTTTTGAACTGTAAAAATGTCTAGAGAGTTTTGTTAAGTCTTATAAAAGTATGTATGCCATTGAATTCTACTTCTACTAGTGACTTTTACATGACATTAAAAAACTACCGAACCGTACCGATACCGAAGAAAAATCAATATGATTTGGACGGTTTCGAAAAGTCTAAATTTGGCTATACATAATAGAATAACCATAAAATTAGTATAGTACAAATTTTGGAACGATAAAGGCTTTAATGATAATTTTATACGTCAAACGAGTTCTTTTTATTTTTATTTTTATACATATGAAGAACTTAGTACATAATTATTTTTCTGTTGTTTATTTACGTTAATAAATTGTCCCGAGAAAGAGGAAGCTCAATAAAACTGCAATTTATTAAGGACGATGAGGAAAAATAACAAATTTAATAAGCGAGGAAGTCTGGATTGAGCTTAATGTTGTATCAGAATTATGGCATAAGGAAAAAACAGAAAGAACAAAATTTCCATGCAACTAAGGTATTTAATATATTTTATTTCAACAAATTTTTATAATAAATAAATTATTTATTTATTTATTGATTTTCGGCGTCCAAAAGGCCAACATTAGAAACTAGAACCGAACACGTTGATAAGAAGAAAAAAAGAGTATATAACAAATATTTGGAAAAATATCAATATCAATTAAAATTATCTGACCAACTACCTATTAATACTGTAATATAAAATACAATAAAAAGAGTAGTTGAAACTCTTTTTGGGCTCTTCAACTAATCTATTTCCACCAATTCCTGACATCTTTCGCCCTAGTATAAGAATGATCCACGTCTCCCGGTAAAGATATAACATTACCATGTTGGTCTAAATATAACAGATGGATCCCTATCTTCTTTACTGTAAAGTCGTCAGACCACACTTTTATCCTTTTCCCACCTTTGATTATCTGGCCATCAAAAGGTTCATCTAAGTAAGATATGTAACACACAAATGTCAGTTCTCTGTGTTCATCAGGTATATTCAACGGCTCAATTAAAGTCTTTTTATGGGCAATACTAATTGAGAAGCTTGGAAAAGGGGCTTCATCGAAAAAGCAGAAAACAAACCAGAGAACCATTCCTAAGAAGTTATACTCCTTATTATTATGTATCGGCATAGTCAAACGCATAGATGAAGCTGTTACTTGATTCCTGCACCATTCTGGAATCTCATTGCATTGGAGATAAACTTCTAAATCACGCTGCATCGGACAAGACTCAAGATCATTAATATGAGAGAGAGAGAGAGAGAGAATATGAGAGAGAGAGAGAGACTAACCAAATCAGGATCTTTTCTAGATAGAAATGATAGAGCAGGTGCACTAAAGAAGCCTTCATTGAATGGATTCTGCAGAGAACTACAATTTATCATGTTGATCGACCATATAGAAGGGAGGTTGTCCAACTCTGTAATCTTGACCAATTTTTGGCAATTCTCAAGTTCAATAATTGCAAGATTCTCTAAATTTGATACTGACAGGAGTGTTTGAAGATTCTCACAGTCATTCAAACACAACTCCACCAATAATCGTAACTTAGAAAAATCAATGGGTAGACAATGGAAACTGTTGCCACTCAAATCTAAATATTCTAAGGAGGATAAGCTCCCAATATTCCTAGGAATATCAGCCTCGGACAAATTACAGTATGTAAGGCTCAAATCGGATACAAAAGTTGACAAGGAATATTGTATCCGATGGACTCCTCTTCCAGAAATACTCCTTTTGGCCTCTAGCTTTCGACCTCCCACTCTCAAAGTTTCAAGATTTCTTAGCATTTCAACAGATCTAGGCACTTGTTTTATACCCGTATCATATGCATCAAGAGATCTTAGACTTTTCAAATCTCCAAGGTTATCTGGCAGTGCTTTTATAGATGAGCAGCCATCAATGTCCAAGTCTTCAAGGGATTTTAGCTGGCATATGCTGCTTGGAAGATCCATAATTTTTCCGCAATTAGACATATCTAGTTTAATTAGTCTGTCCAAATTTCCTATTGATGGATGTATCTCTGCCAGACTTGAGCAACTACCAAGGGACAAATTCTCAAGACTCATTGAACCAGTGAAGTTTGGAGTGCTTCTGAGTTGCTTGCAATAAGAGAGATCCAACTTCTTCAAACTTCTGCAACACTAAAAGTAAACCAAATATAGTTTCAATAAACATTTTCTTTCACTCAGTGGCAATAATAGCACACATGAAATTGTAAAATTGAGTAACAAACCTGCAAATTCAATTGAAATTCTTGGATATCACTCTCCCGCATATCTAGAACTACAAGATTCTCAGCTGGAAAATTTGATGGTATACATTTTAAAGGACATTTTTTCCAAGACAACCATCTGAGCTCCTTGGACAACAGCTCAAAATCTCCACTAATATGTAACTCATCCATTATAAGAACCCTAAGGTTTTTCATTTTCTTAAATGCTTTGGTGCTCAAGTTCAGTCCCTCAAATGCTCGTCGATCTACCTTCAGTACTTCTACCTTTTTGGAACCCTGTAGTTCGGTGAAAAGATTAGTATCTTAAGACAATCTTCAGTCCCACATATTAAGAGGAAAATTTTTTATACTAATTGAAGGTCAAACAAAGAGGTTACACCATATGTATCAAGAAAAATGAACTTACACATTAGAGGATGTTAAAAAAGAATGTAAAATTGCTCAGAAAGCTAAGATGAGAGTCTTTCAAAAACTAGCTAGCATCATTCAATAAATTCACATGGTAATATCAATGGGAAAAAAACATAAATAAAGAGAACAAATTGTATCTTGAAGCCTGATAATAGAATCAATTAAAGATAGACTATATATTATATTATATTTAAAAGAATATTTTGTATATATTGTTCTAGTTCTAGAAATAATAACATAAATGTTCCACATATGTACTTATTCAACAGTTTTCAAAAGCGCACATGCCTCATTTCTTCGATAGCAAGCTTAATTTCCACAATTAGATAAGCATAGAAAGTCAGTAAGAACATAATTAAACAAAAAAAGTGATGAACTGAGAAAAGAAGAAGAAGATAAATTCAAACATCTTTCAATACCTAATAGTGTGTGTGTGTGTGTGTATATATATATAGCCTTTGGTGTGAGTTGAGTTTTGAAATGTCATTTCTTAACTAACCAGAGACGAAAGCACAAATGAATTTAATTCTTATGACGACAATAGAAATTATAAGTGGAAAGAGAAAAGTATTACTGACTTTATTTCCTTGTAGAACATCACAGACTTCTTGCGGGATGAACAATCTACTCCGTTTTCCAGGATCCCGAGCTGATTCCATGCGAACGACTTCTCTTCCCATATCTCGCACTAGATCATGCATCTCCAAAATATTCCAAGATTTTTGGAGCAAGTGTTTTTGGACTAAAGTTGCAATTGCAATTTTAGCATGAAAGCCACATGCATTTAATATTTCAGTAACTTCATGCTCATCAAACCCATGGAAGGCACATGCAATATCGAGGAAAACAGTCTGTGTTTCATCATCAAGTCCATCAAAGCTTATCTTGAGAATCTTTTGGATATCACAATGAGGAATCGCTCTTAGTTTTTCAAATTCATGGCCCCATTCTTCTACAGAACTTCCATGTAAATGTGACCCCAATGTCACAAGAGCTAATGGTAACCTACCTGAATATTTGATTATGTCTCGTGCCAAATTAACATAATCTTCTGGTGGAAAATGACGGTCAAAAGCATGCCAACAAAAAAGTAACATAGCTTCATTGTCATTTAATAGTTTGGCCTCATATCTCTCTTTTTCTCCAAGCCGACATAGCAATCGTTCGTCTCGGGTGGTAATGATTATTAAACTACCCAAACCAAACCAACTTCTTTCTCGCATTAATGATTCTAATTGTTTTTTGTGGTCCACGTCATCAAGAACAATTAGAACCTTCTTTGACCCAAGCCTTGCTTTGATTAGATTGATGCCTTGAGCAACACTTCCAACTTTGATGTCCTCAGTTTTGAGAACTTGTTGAAGAAGTTTCTCTTGTAGCTTGACAAGACCAACTTCTTCAGCTTCTGATCTAACATCTGAAAGGAAGCAACTACTATCGAAGAGTCGAAACATTCGATTGTAGATAGCTTTTGCCAGAGTTGTTTTCCCTATGCCACCAACTCCGTGAATACCAATCATGCGAACTTCATCTTCACATTCAATTTGCAATAACAATTCTATATCTTTGACACGAGAATCTACTCCAACTGGGTGCCAAGCAACATCTAGAGGTGTCTGGTTGACCTCTTGTAGGACTTGCTGTATAATTTTTTCAATAAACTTTGATTCATGCCTACAGATTTTTAGCAAAAACAAAAAATTAAAAGAAATACTACTACAATAAATAAAACTTTGATATTTGAAAATATTTGACGGACAAATCAAAATCGGTAGCCAAGACATAACACAGTGGAATGAATCTAAGCAACAAAATAGATAACTTACCGCGTCATATAGGATATTTTAAGAAATAATTTAAGTTATATATATATTGATAGTATAAATATTTCGATTATGTCAATGCATAGAACTTAAAACTCTTTTGAACTGTTAGTATCACATCCTATAAACAATTGAACAAATAACAAATGAAATTATATAGTTGAATCAAGAAAATGTACCCGTCAGCAACATTTTGCAAATCCCATCCAGATAAATTTGCAGCTTCAGTAAGTGCAGCTATCCACTTCTCCACCCTTTGAGCTCCAAATGGTCGTTCCTTGTGTTTAGCCAAATATTCACCAAATAACCCAGTTTGCTTTCGTACCTCAGAAGGATCAACATCATAGAAAATAGGCAAAACCATCTGCTTTAGTTTATCTTTGCATTCAAGAATTTTAACTAGTTCATTTAGACACCAACTAGAGGAAGCATAATTTCTTGAGAAAACAATAATGGAAATTCTTGACTCTTCAATTGCTTTCTCTAATTCTCTTGAAATCACGTCACCCTTTCTCAATTCCTCATCGTCAATGAAGGTATTAACTCCAACATCAGACAATTTGGAATAAAGATGACCAGTGAATGTTTTTCGGGTGTCTTCACCTCTAAAACTCAGGAATACTTCATAAGAGAAGTGAGATGATTCTCCTCTGACTAATTGAGTATCCATTTGATGAATTAAGGGTTGATGAGAATGCAAGAATTAAGGGATGAATTTTTAGTAAATCTTTAGACCGAAAACACAGAATCTAATCCATGGCCGTCCCCTACCCAATAATAAAGTTCACATCTCACTTTCTATCTCCTCCATATTCCTTCCTCCTCCACTTCTTCTTTCCTTAACCCTCAACCCCTTTTTTTCACCTTTCAATTATGGCCGCCGTAAAACTCTCCGCATGCTCCTCACCCGCAGCGACGGAGGAAGTGATCGACGGCTATTGACCGAGGACGATGCGTCGCCTGATCGGATTTTCAGCGACGGAGATTCGCCGGATAAAAAGGAAGTGGTGGTGAGAAACAAGCTTAAGAATTTGTTCGTTTCGTCACCGGAAAATTCGAGAGGGGGATTTCACCGTAAATTCTAGTGCTGGTGGTAGTATTGGATCGGCAGTTCGGAGAATTCGGCCGTTGACGGCGACTTTCCGGCAACGGTTGCTTAGGAGGGTTTGGAGACCTGTGCTTGTGAGTATACCTGAATAATTAAATTGGAATATATTGTATTAGCGCTAATTGCGCTTATTAGAGAATAAATAAAGTAAGTTTTGAATCCTATTTTTTTTTTTAAAAAGGATGATTTTTTAGTAAAGGGAAAGTAGCTAAGCGGAGTTACGTATAAGCACAAGTCTTATGGTTTCTAGCTGGAAACTTTAAATCTTGGGTCAAGTGAACTACAACCCTTCTGAAGGAAGTTTCCCTTGATATTTCTTAGTAGGCGTTTTGACATAAGAATCGTAAAATTCGAAAAATGATATTTGAAGTGTAAAATGATATTTGAATTTTAGAGTTGTGTTTGGATATAAATTTAAGTTTGGGTTGTTTTTGAAGTTTTGTGAGTGATTTGAGTGAATTTTGAAAAACAAAATTTTCCGAAAATTTTCAAAATGCATTTTCAAGTGAAAATTAGAAATTTTATGAACAAACGCTGATTTTGAAAAAAAAATGAAGTTTTTTTGGAACGCTGATTTCGAAAAAAAATAAAGTTTTTTTGGAAAAAAACTTCAATCAAATTTTATGTCCAAACGGGCTCTTGACCCGTTTGGCCATAGATTTTGCCAAAATATATTTGGGTTTTTTTTGGCAAATACATGTTTGGCCATAGATTTTATCTACATTTTGACAAATTCTCAAAACTCAAAACCCAAATTCCAAAAACAGCTAAAGAGTTTGTTTTGGCCCAAAATATCACTATTATATTTTTTAAAAATTGTCCCAAACTTTTGTATTTTATAAAAGAGCCCACCATTTATTATTTTGTAACAATGATGTTTCGTCTTCTCGTTCATCTGATAGTGTATTATATAGTTTATTTATATTCAAGACTATAGTTTGCGATATTATAATGAATGTTATTGTTAAAGGTACTGTTGGGTATTTGTGGTAGTTTTTAGAACTTGTGGGTGTAAGTCATGTTTCGTGTTTTTTCAAAAAAAAAAAAAAGTAAAATATGTTTTGAAAACTTATGTCCAAACGTATCTTTATCTTCAAACCAAACTTCATCCAAATTAGATTTTTCAAAATAAATTTGAGAATCTATGACCAAACGTTAGCTTAGACTTTGTGGTTGAAAACTTTGTTCTCAGGTGAAAGTCATTTACAACACTTTACGGGAAGTTATTAACCTAAATAAAAGAGAAGTTTCCCAAGATTTTTCTTGGATATCTTTGTTATACTACATAGAGCCCATTTGGCTATAATAAAAATTCACCCTTTTCAGCAAATTTTTACTGCTATAAAAATTTTAAATTTTACTTGATGTTGAATTTCAAAAATTTTCACAAAATTTTAAAAATGCCAAAAAGTTGTTTTTCAAAGTTTTCATTTCAAATCACTCACAAAATTATATTTATGTCCAAACACAACTCTAATCTTCAAATATCATTTTTACTGAATTTTTTTTTATTTTTTCCCACCATTTCACAATTGTTATGTCTAAACGCCCACATAATTTAGTATGATAGGCTAAATAAACTTCACATTGTACATCTACAAAAGTGATGTACAAAGTTAAACTCATCTATTAATACTATATGTAGATTGAAGTAGTGTATTTCTTAATTTAAAATTTTATAACTATTATATTTTTTTTATTTTCTTAATCACATTATTTAATCGAGATCTTTTTTTAAAATTGAATTGAATTGATTTAAAATGGATCGAACCGAATTAATCCAAAATGGATCAAACTGACGAAATGTCCACCCATATTCAATCTCGTCACTAGTGGCCGATTTGCATTAAAAGCAGTGGCACCCGTAGCCATCAAATACTGGATCCACCTCTGAATTTGTAGATCATACATGATTTTTGAGTATATGTCACGACCTAAAATCCGATTAGTCGTGATGACACCTAACTCAACCCGCTAAGTAAGCCAATTAACTACAATCCAATTTAATTAGATTTATCGAGAAAAATAAATGATATAATAATTTAACCTTTCTACTTTTCTCAAGGACTGGTAGTACAAATCATGAGTTTCTAAGAGTTGAATTTTTACAAAATTGGTAGAAAATAAAATGCATCATTTGTTTGAAATAAACATGAACAGATTAGTAATTCTAAAGCTACCAAGAACAAGAGGCAGCTATGACTGAATCGCGGAAACATCTTCAATGCCAGCTCCCGTCATACACCGCAACATCTACATCCAAAATCTGCATGCAAGATGCAGAAGTGTAGTATGAGTACAACCGATCACATGTACTCAGTAAGTATATTGTCTAACCTCGTCGAAGTAGTGACAATGATTTTTAGTTTAAAAGATACTCAATATTATAACCTGTGCAGAAACAATTATAGAACATAATAGATAAGAGTACAAGAAAACAAATGTGTGAAGCAGTAAATGATGATTACTAAAAGAAATCACGGTAGTAAATTCATAACTTTCATGGTGAGGAAAATGTACTCAAGATATCAAATCAAATGGCACGGCAATACCCTTCATGCATTTATCTCATCCTCGCCAAATATATGAATGTAGATCAAATCAATTGGCACGGCAACACCCTTCGTGCATTTATCTCTTCCTCATCGAGCATACGTATAATAGTACCAACCAGGTGAAAGAAATGTCAATAACAATAACGATAACAATAAAGTGGGAGACACACAGGAAGCGATAACGAACAAGGCAATGCATATGGGCAACAGAACCAGACTGGAAAAGGGGCATAGATGCATATATGACAACAAGGGGGAAAAGGTTAAACAGGTAGAAGGCATGACAACAGAACAACAATTGGAATAAAGAACAAGTCAGAACAACATTGACAACCACATAGAAAACATAGGTGTAACAGTAATAATCAAAGTAAAGGCATGAATACAAACACAAGGAAAAGATATCACAATATAATGTATGTCCCTCGTTCTTACCTGCATGTAAACACCCTTCGTGCCATGAACATATAGTAATATAAAACATGATGATATAACTGACATGGCACGGTATCACCCTTCGCGCTTTTACTCTCATCCCCATATGATAATATGCATGATAATATAATAAAATGGCATGGCATGACCTTTCGTACTTTACACTCTTCCTCACATAATAATGAATATAAAATGGCACGACATCATTCTTCGTGCTTTACACTTTTTCTCACATAATTATGTAGATGAAATGGCACGGCATCACCCTTCATGCTTTACACTCTCCCTCACATGATAATGTATATGAAATGCCACGGAATCACCATTCGTGCTTTACACTCTTCCTTACCAAGCACATATATATCATTAACAAGCAAGGTAGGAAGCATAAATAACATCAAGGAGAGTGTTTAAATGAATATTCCAAATTGAACATCAATCACGACTTTCAAGCCAATCACAATTTCAATGAACCTCAAGTACTTTAATCAAGTATTTCAACAAGTCTCAAAATGATCTTCAACTCAAGTATATAATTCAAAATCTCAAGAATAACGGTCGTAGTGTCATAATTGTGATTAAGTATAATAACGATCGGATTTAGCACATCAATAATTTCACAAAAGTTCGTCAAGTTTTAATCAAATTATAATAAACTAAATCATGGTTTCTGGCATTAATTTTTCTATTCATAGTAATCTAGTAGTCAAGACATGGAACAAGACTATCACAAAATACTTCAAAGCACAATTAATCATATAATTTATTCCGGGCATAATTAACTCTCGCACATGCATATATACTCGTCACCTCATATATGTATCACCCCCGCATGTAGCAAACAATAGAAAATAGTAGGAAAAATTTCCTCAATAAAGTTAGGCAACACACTTATCTCAAACAAGCCAGTTCCAATGATGAGCCAGCTAAACACTACTCTGAAAATTCTATTTCGCATGTATCAACCTCCAAACGCCTTCATATCTCCTCAATTCAAATCCAACTATCTGAAACTAGTCAAAAACGAGCAAATTAATCAAAATATACTCCAATACTTACAATTTAACAATTTATAAAAACTTCCAACTCTGCTCAAAACGTCAACCAAAAGTCAACGTGAGGCCCACTTCTCAGAACCCGATAAAACTCACAAAATACGATAAACCATTCAATTACGAGTCCAACCATACTAATTTTACTCAAATCTGACTTAAACTCGACCTGCAAATCCTCAATTTTTATTTTTTTTTAAATCCTTAGGCCCAAATTCTTAAATTACACCTCAAATCACGTAAACTAGTCGAAACAATCAATGATAACTCAATATTATTAAATAAAAATGATCACGAGTGACTTACCTCAAGAATTATCGTGAATCCTCTCTCAAAAAGCACCCCTAACCGAGCTTTGTTCGTCCAAAAATGCGAAAATCCCGCAACCCCTTCGAATATATTCTGTCAAGGGGTCTTCGCACCTGAGACCAACTTAGCTGCATATACGGCTTCGCGAGTGCGACAAAATTTTTCACTTCTGTGATTTCCTGTGAAGTCCTGCATTCTGCTAGAGAGAGAGGGCGCTAGCCCGGGTACATAAGTATAAGGTCCACCACTGCTTTCGCTTCTGCGATGAACCACGTGCATATGTGACTCCACATCTGCGAAAATTTCCTCCGTACTTGCGCTCCTCAGCCCCTTCACCATTTTACGCTTTTGTGATCGCCTCTTCGCATTTGCTACCTCATAGGTGCGGACAAAACCATCGCACCTGCGAGCGCTACCCAACACCATTCCTGGACGCTTCTGCGATGCTACTCGTGTACATACGGCCTCGCACCTGCGATCAAAACCTTCGCAGGTGCGATCACACTAGTAGGCAAAAGTTTAGAATTTCTCTAAGTCCAAATGTTGATCCGTTAAACATCCGGAATCCACCCGAGGCCCTCGGGACCTCAATCAAATATACCAACACGACCCATAATATAACACGGACCTACTCTAGGCCTCAATCACACATAACAATATTGAAACGACGAATCGCACCTCAAATCAAACTTAATGAACTTTGAAATTCCAACTTCTAAAACTCGCGCCGAAACATATCAAATCAATCCGGAATGAACTCAAATTTTGCGTACAAGTACCAAATGACATAAAAAAGTTACTGAAATTTTCGGAACCATAATCCGAACTCGATATCCTCAAAGTCAACTCTCGGTCAAATTTATGAATATTCCAAACCTTCAAATT